ACGAGACCGGAAGCCGAAAACCGTTCGGAGAAATAAAGATCGGCACTATTTCTCCGAACGTTCGGAGAAATAGTCACTTCGTAATATGTTATTCGCCTATTCGGACTCGGGTCCGGAAATAAGGAAGTGTCTTCGTTCTATAGATCTAACGTTCAGTGCTTCCAATTTTCCGCCATTTTTAGTTTCCCCCACACCTTTTCTGCCGATCCAATGCCCGCCGCATTGATACGCCCCCCACCCCCCCCAAGTTTCCCACTTTCTTTGTGTAGAAAAAGGTAAAATTGAAGATAAGCAGACCACCTGGCACCTGCATATTATGAGCTGTGTAAGAAAAAAAAAAGACTGATTCGTTCAAATACACAAGCCTGTGTCATATCGATTGTTTACGTAGATACTCCGAATACTATAAAATGAAAACAATTACCAGACGAGTGAGTTAATGAAATCACATTTTCTGGCTTGTCTGTTTTCATTCTGATGTCTGTGATGCAAATTTGCTTCAATGTTGTTTGTACTCTGTTAAGAGTTCCTGGTTGCGACAACAAATTCCAAATGAGTGAGACTATAAAATTATTTAAGGCTATAATTTATACGTATACCGTGTGGACTGCATTTTTTGACAGAATCAGAGGCTTAGAATATGAACAATAACAAAGTAGTCCTACAACAAAATAAGTTTTAAGGCAGAGAGGAGGGCCTATCAAGCGTTCTGTAAAAATTTGTCTGCTCTAGGCTAGGTTAGAGTCACTCCAATTCATAGAGATTCAAATTCTCAATGGGATCAATCTTCCAGTTTGGATTGGAAAGTTTTTTATTGAATAATAATACGCAGTGGCTACGTTCACGGCGCCGTGAACGTAGTCTGCAGGCTAGGTTCACGGCGCCGTGAATGTAGTTGGCAGGCTACGTTCACGGCGCCCTGAATGCAGTTTGCAGGCGCTGTTGAGGCTATGTGCACGGCCCTCAAGCTTCGTTTAGACGGAGCGTCCAGTGCCGGTTTAAGACATGAGGCGGGGGAAATTTTGAAATTCGTTCTGAAGAAGAAACTAAGCTTACAAATGTGGTAGTATCATTGGGTAGCATCAATATAAATAGAGTGGAGAATTAAGTCATGAGGTATTATTTTGAAAATTCTTTTGTGTTGCTAAGGTAACGCCTGCCATATTGGAATGTCATATAGAAAATGCACATATTTCTAAAAAATATATCATAAGGTTATAATTTATGATTTTAAATGTTATAATAAGTGGTTTTGCAGCCTTCCGTGGCTGTTTTAGAGGATGGACTTGGCATTTTTGATGAAGGAGGAAAAACTTTTCCAGAATCGAGGTCCTAAATATGGGAATATTTTGACCACAACAATCTCAGACCCAAACAACGGATTAGATTTATAATAAAATCATTTATTCAAGATTTTTTTCTGACGTCACTACTTATTGCACTAGAATAATGTTTCATCTATCAGTATACCGAAAATTATGACGATATCTTACCAACTTTTCGCATGATAGATTTTTGTGTCCCCACCCCCTCACCCCCCCCCCCCCCACCCTGAAAGAGCCCAATTTGAGAGAAAACTCCTAAAAGTTTGGACGTGCAAAACTTAGGCTACTGTAAATAGTAAACGTAGTCCGTTGTACAGTTGCGTCCAAAAGAAACTTGAAAATGTAATCACCCAGTCATCGTGTTAAAGCCTTGCATTACCCATTCATGCAGCATTCCAATGTAAAGCTAAATAAATTCTTCATCATCTGACTCTTTAATATTTAATCTATTTTAAGAGACACCCGAGATATTGTCACTCAAATTTGACCCTAAAAAAATAAGGCTTGGCAAAATTGTGCGAAATCAAAGAAACGTAAAATTGTCTTTGCACGTTTATTGAAGAGTATCAATATTGATCGAATGGAGATATATTGAATGCCTAATGAATGGAGAATTGTGTCTTTGCAATAAACAATATTTTATTGCGATATTTTGTCACGATAGTTTCAAACATAAAGGAAAACAGAACAATCACAGATACCACACAAAACTTCGACTCAACACTAATTGTGTTCATTGTTATTTTGCTTTGGAACCATTGGCTTTGTGTTGCGCACGAAACCTTTGGGCATCAATTCTATTTAGTTTTGGACATATTTATCAGTTATTTCATTTCAAATGTCACAGAGGTTGCAAACAAAGGGTCTGAATTGGGGGCAAAGTCGTTTTTCTTCAGCCGCTGTTTCATGGGACTTCACATACCTGTAGGATTCATATCAGGGCTGTTTGCTGCTAACTATTTGAACGTTGACTTGATTTGGTTTTTTAAGAATTCTGTAATGGCACTGGCCCTATGAGAAAATGCCGTGTTTCGCATGGGGATGACTACTTGAATAACACCTTGACGAAAATAGGGGTAAGACATGACGCTCCAGCACTTGCGTCATGTAGTCCACTAAACCAAGGCATTCGGTGATTCTCACGAGAGCGACTTTGTTCATTCCACCCCATGCCACCCAAAACCATGGCAGTTTCGTGGCCTCTGTTCCTTACTGACAGATGTTCAAAATCTTACAGGGTCTGTGTGCAAAAGAGGTTTCGAGCTCGGTAAGAAACCAACAGCTCCTGAACAAAAACAAAATTAAAACTAATGAACACAAATAAAGTTTTCTGTTCAGCTCTTCGTTGTTGGTGTTTTGGAAGCTCTGAAATGCATTGAACATACTTTTGCTAATGCGATGTGTTTAGTCATCTTTTACAATTTCAGTCATAAATGCCATAAAAAATTGAGCATCTGATGAGATTTGGCATCTCCGTCACACAGCATCCTGCTGTATACTAAACCTTAGTGTTGCGCTGATTTTGTGAATATTGTTTCAGCCTCCATAGCTTTTCACTTCCTTGTAAATTTTGCTGACACTTTATTTGATGGTGGGTTCTCAAAGGCAGAATAAAAAAGCGCATATCCGTCATTGTCACCTACTTCTTTATCTTTCTTCATGGGTGAAATTTTCTTTTTGGCAATGGGGTGAGGAGCAAGTTCATCCTCATCTAAAGTTTCCTCTTCACTATTATCACTCTCACGATATGTTTCATCACTATACCTACACCACTAGTGCCTATCAATGTTCGAACTGTCGTGTGATGTGCTGAAGAATGTCGATGCCATTGCAGTAGGCTGTGGTAATCTTGAGAAATTGAGGCTAGGGCAACAAAGTATTTTGGAAAGGTGTTCAAAAAGCATTTTCTGAGCTCGATAACTGTTGAAACTGGGATACTGCCGAAACAGCACTCTCATCTCGTTGATTAGACGCTAGCATCAGCATCAGTAAATGTCATTGAAAGAGACGATTATGAGGCTGAAACAAAAGAATGAATTGAGTGTAGGAACTGATCTAAAATCTCTTTCTGTCTGTCTGTCTGTCTGTCTGTCTGTCTGTCTGTCTGTCTGTCTGTCTGTCTATCTGTCTGTCTGTCTGTCTGTCTGTCTGTCAATACAAACACAAGCACAGTTTTGGTGTAGAACAAAATAAGACAGTAAAGTTGAGTAAAGGGAACATTGACCAATAATGAGTTTCTCAGATAAGGAGACCTGGCAATAATATTGAGAGCTTTCGTTTTCAGTTTTTGTCTCGTAGTTGCAAGAAATATAAAAAAAAGATATCCGTGCTATCAATTTTCCTTATCTCTTTACTGTATAAAAATGCATACATGATATGAAATACGCTTGCAAATAGTTTGAATGAAAGAATGAATATCTCGTTCTGAGCCAAAGACACAACACACACACACACACACACACACACACACACACACACACACACACACACACACACACAGACACACACACACACACACACACACACACACACACACACACACACCACACACACACACACACACACACACACACACACACACACACACACACACACACACACAGATAGAGACAGAGAAAATAGAGAAGGGGTGAGGAGAAAGAGAGAAGGAAAGAGAAAGGGGAGAGACAGACAGAAAGAGAGAGAGAGGGTGTTTTCTATTATGATAAGAATTATTCCCGTCATTTTCTCTCTGCGTCGGTTCCCAGGCTTTTTCGTTTTCCTTCATCTCATGGGATAGAAGCTGGCCAAAATATTAAACATACGTCACTGTAGTCACTGACTAAAACCGGCAGTGGACGCTCCGTCTAAACGAAGCTTGAGTGCCGTGAACGTAGCCTCAACAGCGCCTGCAAACTGCATTCAGGGCGCCGTGAACGTAGCCTGCCAACTACATTCACGGCGCCGTGAACCTAGCCTGCAGACTACGTTCACGGCGCCGTGAACGTAGCCACTGCGATAATAATATATTGACCTGTTGGACTCGGGTTTAAACAAAGTAAGATTTGGCCCTCAGATTTCCCTTTGTTTTCTGTAATTGTATCTCTGGTCTGTTATATTCTACAAATAGATGGCCCAAGGCATCCTCAAATGATTTATTGTGCCTTTTACTCCCCAGTATGAATACTGCTGATCTTATTGGGGGGGCATGTTTGTTTCGAGTTTGAAAATAAAGCATGTGATGACACTTCTAGTGAATTTTTAAAGCTGAAAATGTCAGTAAGTGAATAGAATTACAGAATAATTAGTTATCAGTGAAATTTGAGGGATGAGACAGCTCCCTGGGAGGTCAGGTGACTTTTACTGTGTTATATAAACATGTCTCGACACGACGGAATCAGGTGCTAGTCAATTTTTGGGCATGTGAAGTTTGGTATCATCATAAAAAGCTTATATTTTTTATGAAAAAATATCCATCTTAAAAGAAGTAGAGATATTTGCGATTAAAGGAGGTTGGAGTTGCCTGGTTCCAGATATAAATTAAGCGAGAAAATGGCCGTCAAAGTTAGGAGAATTCAATAGCTTGAGAATGCTTGGAAAGTGAAAATTAACGTTTTTTATGACTTAAATCAATGATGTTCTGTAAAATCTACACAGAAATGTTTTTAAATGGACAATAAAGGTGTTGAGCCAAAAAGCAACAAAAAAAAGATAAAAATTGCCAAGCTCGCAGAAAAATGCCAGTTTCTTCGATTTCATTATTTTGACGAGCACCTGATTTCACCACGATGCCTCACATATGATATAATACTGGTTTGTCCGGTTGAAATCATTTTCTACCTTGATTTAGCAATTCCTCTTCCACCACCCCTCACTTTTATGTCTGAAGAAGATTCCAGTTGCTCAGAGACTGTTTCCTGACTGTTGTTTGTGAGAAGGATTTTTACCTTCACTGTCAACTATAGAGTTTTTCACATACATTTTTGAATGTATTTTCTCTAGGGTTACATGTTTTTTGGTAAAGGTTCATTTCAAAATGGGTCGCGTTTATTTTTAAATTGTTTTTTAAATTTAAGAATTAATTCAGTACGTTTATTTCATCAAAGAGCAGAAAAACAGGCTTTATAAGATTTTTTAAAATAGCCTGAATGGCAAATATTTGTGAGGTAATGTAATATTATAATATATTTATCACTATCTAGCTCATTGAAGCTGTGTCCCTATAGAGAATTCCCTCCTCCAGATCAGCCCTAATGGCCGTTGCAAACATGTCCTTTCAGTGATGGCTTTAACAGAAATGTTTGGGATGCCCTTGAACACCTGTTGTTTTGCGTAGGCTACACAAGCACTGCACCATAATTTTAATGCTCTATTTCTTTGCTTTTTTAACTCTATTGAGCAGAGAAGGCAACAAGCCAACTGCTCCTGGAACCAGACTGGGACTCAGTTTTGCAGATTGTTGACTGCATTCGACAAGGAGATGTTCAGTAAGTTCTTCCACATGTCTAGCCCTTATTTGTGTCATAGAGCACAAGCACTGCCTGCGCAATTGATGAAAATGTGGTGCAATTTGACTTATATATATGTTTCTGAAATCTTATGTCTCTTCAAACTTGATATATCATCAATGCCTTTCACCCCTGGCAGGGTATAGGCCACATACAAGCTCCTTCCATTTATCTCTGTCCTGAGCCATCCTTCCAAGCTCGTTCGAAGTGAGCTTCATTTCTCTCATGTCCCTTTCCACGCATCTCCTCCATGTTTCCCGTGGCCTACCCCTGCCTCGTGCTCCCTGTGGGTTCCACTGCAGTGACTGTCTTGTGATGTTTCCGCTGGGCTTTCTTAAGGTGTGTCCCATCCATCGCCACTTTCTTAGTCCTATTTCTACTTCTATATCCTTTTGTCCTGTCCTTTCCCACAGCTCTTCATTTCTTATTCTTTCCTGCCACTTAATTCTTAAAATACTCCTCATACATCTGTTGATGAAAGTCTGGACCTTATTCAGTACTGTCTTTGTTGTCTTCCAAGTTTCGCAGCCGTAGAGGAGCACAGACTTGACGTTGGAGTTAAAAAGTCGAATCTTGGTGCGAAACTTGATATATGAGATACAGTAATTACACGGATTTACTTGAATTTGCCGGGACCGGCCTCTGTAGTTCGAGGGATATCTTACAAACATAAAAAATTAAAAAAAACAGAACCACAGGTGCTGTTCGATAGATACATGATTTCGAGTTTTCTGTGTTCGACCTATCCGTGTATACTGTGTTTGTTAAGTTGATCTGTTCAGAACGAAGAGTTCTGCATCTTATATGATATATCTTTTTTTGTTGTTGTATTTTTCAGGCCCAAATTTGCCGTGCAGAGCATTAGGAAAAAGATTAGTGTTGAAAATCCTCATGTGGCCCAGTTTGCTCTTCTTGTGAGTTGTACATCGATTTGTATCCAGTTTAAAGCAAAAATCTGATGTTGATAGGAAATGGAATGCAGTATGTGAGCCTCTCATCACTATATATATAAATGGGAATTATGTATTCTTTTTCTGTACCCATTTTAAGTATGATTTGTGTTATTGATATGATTCATGCAATATTTGTTGTATCATTGGTCTTGAAATATCAGAAGTTCACTCCCTTTCCATGCATCTGTTTTGCCTCCTACAAATTCTTTACGTTCTTGAAAGCAAGACAACTTTATACGTATACATTAGCAAGATTTTGGTCAAAAGAACAAGGCAGTGATGGTTCACCATGTTTAACAAATCAGGGACTTCCTGGTTATATAAAATTTTTCTGTACTTTAGGTTGTGGAAGCTTGCGTGAAAAACTGCGGATCAACTTTCCACAATGAAGTGGCTACTAAGGAGTTTATGGAATTCTTGAAAGATCAAGTGAAGGTAACCCAGTGTAGCTTTTTTTGCGAATGTAAGAGTATGTTTTATTGTTGTTGAACATGCTTTGGTCACGGGTTCACAAATTTATACATATATTGCTCCTCCTTCTACTCATATTGTCCAAAGACCCGGTGGGCCTGGACATACACAGATGCTAGAAATATACAGTGCAATACATGAGTTACACCTCCAGAAATTCCTTACTTTAAAAAAAATGCTAAGTCTAGGTTTTGTAAGTTGACTGAATAACAGGGATGACTTCTTGTAACTGGGTTTTCGGAATAATTTCTAGCTTTCCAGTAACACTTAACGGTACCAGAATTTTCCAGCTTTTATTTTCATTTCTATTACCATTTGCAATAACTGACAACATGCAGATTTCTTTACATTCATAAGTGTGCGCACATATGTCAGCCACAAAAACTAAGAATGAATGTGTGAGCTGATGTTGCTTTTATTCCATACAAGAAGTTTATATCTACCCATGTATTTACATTAAATGATAATTACTATAAATACAATGATACACCTAAATCTTTAAGTTGAAAAGTACCAAAAATCAAGTCAGTCCAGGCAGAGCGGCAGCAGAGAGCTGACCTCCGTGATCCCGACGTAATAAGGCGCCCGGCAAGGAACCACCCGCTGCAACTAAAATTCCACTCCTCGTGCGCCGTAAACAAAACTTTGTCACAATATAGGGGCTACCTTCAAACCGGTACCAGTTTTCTTCCTTGATGTGCTGATCAAAAGTCCATTGTTGATTCCCACTCACATCACTCTCCTTTCACCAACCGGTAGTGGACCATACCCTCCTCCTCTACCTCTTGATCCGAGTTTAGATGTAAAAATCCACTGGATCACTAGCACCATAATCACTTTTATCAGTACTTACTACTGCACACATTGATCTATATCACCTTCATGGTCTGACAAATTTTCAAGCACTTGCTGTATCATGAACTGTTGGGACCAAACCCTCTTTCCTGTTAAAGTAGTTAATCAACAATTCGCTTTATGTTGAAATAAATCTGGGTTTTTTTAAGATAGAAAAACAAGGCTATTTTCCTGTTTTAGTCAGGCATTTGCGATTGCCACTTCCTGCGCTAAATGTGTTTAGGGCAGAAATGCAGACCATTTTTTATTCTTGAAATGGTTTTCTCCCAACTGTTGCCTGTTGCAAAAATTTTGCATGATTGTTTAGTTTTAGTAAGAACTTTATGACACTTGCAACGCAATTAGGGCATATATGTACTGAAGATTAGATGTATTTCTAGAGAGTAAAATAAAAAAAGGAGGGGTGATAAGGATGATAGATTTTGACAGGAGAGAAGGAGCAAACCACGTCAAAGCACCCGCCAACAACCCACCTAAATAATTGAATGTTTATATATATTCAAGGTGGACTGGGAATTTTGAGACTCAGTCTATATTTAACTAATTTTTTTCTTTCTTTTTTTCTCTGACAGTACCATTACTTTTTCAAGTTTTATTTTTGTTGTATCAGTAGATGAGATGACTGTGTTTTAGTTTTAGATGGTCAGCTGTTTGTCTTTCATTGTTTTACTCTCCTTGCTATGTTAGAATATGTTTTGTCTTTTATTAAAGGTTTATCATGATTGTTGGCAGAAGTTTTGAGTATGAGTACTGTGTTGAACTTGGTATGATCTTGAAGAAATATCATGTTTCTTAAACATGACTGAACTTGTCTATCTATTAGAAAGTATCAACAGACCCTGTAAGTTGAGAGTCAAATAGTAGTCCTTATGTTAAGAGTAGAGAAAGTTCAAAGGAATCTCTTTGTATAAATGACTTACCTTTGGCAGTATTGCAAGCTGACAATATTCCATTTTGTGTAAATGGTGTTCATAAGATTTATCACATGAATTATGAAGTTATTGAATGTTGATGTAGAGAATATTTATAGTGTGTAACATATGATAGTTGCCACCTGAAAAAAGGCCACCACATGATTGTTATTTGATAAAATGAATAGAGTTTGAAGAAAACAGAGGTAGAGACAGTGTTTTAATGGTATATAAGGACTGCTAAGACATTTCTTATCATTTAACCCCCCCGAGCAACTTTCATTTATTTCTTGTTAATCTACCAAGCTTATATCATAATGGGTTACTACACCATTGAAAGTGCTTCTGCCTGAAATCTCTGCCTGCATCACCATTTCAAAATCAACAAAACCTCTGGATATCTTGTGGATGGAGTTGTGTTGCTCTTTCGTAAAGTGCAATGCATAATACAAACTGCATGCAGGAGAATGTGCTGATAAGCGCATGCAGACACTACACAAATTTTAATGATATACTTTGTTGGCTGTATGCACTGTACTTTTAGTTTAACAATATAGTGATGTCACAGCACTGCAGTGCTTTATAGCATGTAATGAGAGTTGTGAATTTGTAAAGCTTTTCTCCAAAAGAACTAATTTCTTCTTGGGAATGGATGAGTTTCAAAGTTTACAAAGCTTTTTTGTAGGTCAAGACTTAGATGCATCATACTATATGTGTTCTTTGTTCTTTTTTACCCTCCAAGTGTTGCTAACAAATAGCTGGGGGGGGGGGGGGGGGCTCTCGTGGTCTAGAGGTTAAGGTGCTCCTCTAAAAGTTTCTCCTTTCACATCTTTTCCTGCTCTCTAACAATGTTCTGTTGTCTGCTTTCGTCTCCACTTTCTGTCCCCACCCCCTCACCTCCTTTGCTGTTACATCTGAATTAATTTCAAAATAAAGAAAACATGAATGAATGAGTATAGTTTGGTGAAAACAGACAGCGCCTAGGAAGATCAATACATATTTTATGTTGTTATGATTTCTGCTTTTCTTTAATTTTGATTATATTTTGCTGTATCTTTTTAGTAATGACATTTTCTACTACAGCATCATGAAACAATTTTTCTTACAGTGATTCATGCAGGGAGATCATGAAAGGGATATTTGTGGTCTTCCACTCTTTTCTCTCCCCCCTCAGTCCCCGGACATTTGCTTTTGCCTCCTCTCCCAACCATTACTCTTTTTAATTTTCTAATTTACTTTTTTTCCTTTAGATTTTGTGCAGTGTGCTTTCTAGCCTTGATCCATTCGTTTAGATTTGATTACTCTCGTAGCATCTACTTCTTTTTTTTCTATTAGGTTCTCTAACTTTAAAAAGCTCTAGTAACTAAGTTATCTTGGTTGTGAATGTTCTTTGCATGGAACTAAGTTCAGGTGACTCCATATGGATAGATGCAATTGCTGAACTTCATTGTTTTGACCCTTAGGAGCAGAAATGGATGGGTAGGGAGAGATCTTTTCTGTTTCAGTTACTGTTCTGCAATTTGATCATTTTTTCCTGGTATTCTCTGTAGTAATCCCTTATTATGTAAATTTTGTTCAAGTTTAAGGACATTTCACTGACTTTTTTTTGGATACATTCTGTCTCAGGAGTACTGTTGACCTTTTAGACTGGACTGCCGCAAGCTGACAAAACGCCTTACAAAACACCTTTTTTTTGTGTGCCAAATCTTTGTTTATTTGTTAAATTGAAAGCCTGATCAGTTGCCCAACTTGTGTGAAAATGTAAAAGTGAAACGGACTGCTGTTTGAATAAATTTGAATTCAAATTTCAGAAGAAGGTCTTTTTAAGATGGTTACACTAACAAATAAAACCCCTCCTTTTGCTGTGCATAAAAAAGGGGTTTTTGTTAGCTTTTGTCAGTGGAGCACTGTATTTAAGTCTAGTGTCATTATCAATAAAAGTCTTAGCAGCACTGTATACTAACAATTCTCAAGATAAAATATCTCTCTTCCAGTTTCATTGTTTTTCTTTTCTGCTTATAGACAGCTAATAGACACTTCCATGACTTCAGAACTTATCCCAGGTCTTGTAATGCTAACTCACTATAGTTTTTCACCAATTTCTCATAGTTTGTTTATAGAGTCTCTCAACATTCTTCATAGTCTGCTGTTTTACTTTTTATTGCTGACTGCTTGATGAGTGTTCTTTTATGGTCTTTTATCTGTCCCATCTTTGTTCTGGTCTTGTCCTTAATTGTTTTAGTCACACCAGGGCTGTCAATGTTTGACTGCCTTTAATTCAAATCCCAAGCATTGTTTACAGAATTTTTGCTTCCTGCTTCAAAGTTTCCTGCATCATCCCAACATACTTTGAATATTAACTTTTGTTGTTGTTGATTATATGAATCTTATCGAAACGACTGAGAAGAAAATCCATTAAAAAATTTAGTGATATCATGTACTGTTCATTATCTTGTAGCTTACCGTAGAAAGACTGACCTAACCCAGTAGGACTTATGTAAAATGTACTCATTGACTGACAGTTTACAATCATTTACTTCAATAGTGGAACTAGCAGTCAGTGATGAACATAATATTTATTATCAGTGTTATGCCAAATGTGTTTTCATACATACACGAGGAAACCAAGCTAGTGTCACTTTCCCTTCTTTCAAGATGCAAGGCTGTAAACAAAATAATCAGTTTAAAGTATACTGTGTCTTTCATGCTGTTTGCTGGGTGACTTGTTTGTTCTAAGAATAACGTGTAATGATTTTCCTCTTTGAGCGTTTTTTATTTTTTTTTTCACCTGGTTAAAACATGTCTCAGGTGAATGTACGATCAAGGATAGATATATTTTAATGGGAATCTCTCTTTTATCACTACATGTGGCATTTTTTCCCCCCATAATAGTGTCGCTAATTTTCAGTTTCTGCTTGTTTCAATAAAAAAATTTCCTCTAACGTTTAGAGATAATTTTACAATTTGTCTCTGTTTCAGGTCCGTGGTGACCCTGTCAAAGAAAAGATATTGGAGCTTGTTCAGACCTGGTCTAATGCTTTCCGCAATGAGCCCAAGTACAAAGCAGTTGAAGACACATTTCATCTGCTCAAAATGGAGGGTTAGTAATATTGTTTTGCAGACAACAGCACAAAAACTTTTCTTGATGCTCGATTGTAGGAATTTTGTCTTCATCCACAAACCCCAATTTAAGGCTGTTAAAAGCATTTAATTTTCTCTAAATGCAAGGCTTTTTACCGAAAACATTTGTTTTTGTAACAACCCCCCCCCCTCCCCCCCTGAAATTATTTGAGTTGTGGTACACTTTTTGTCCAGTTTGCTGCTAAAACAATATCTCTATTTTCTGGGCTCTATGAGTATAGCATATTCACTTGACTACTGGTACAGACTGCAAGAAAACAGTTATTAGTTATGTAGAATGCTCAGTTCCAATAGTAAATGACAAAATATGTATATGTGGCTTTGCATAGTTCTGTTCTCGTATTTTATTTTGTGAACTGAGCAAGTGGCACTTTGTTTAGTTTTTAGTGATAGACCAGCTGGAAAAAGCTATGACTGTAGATGTTCTTCCCGGAGAAGGGCTGGATTTTGAGAGTGAGACAAAGTGTTAACATGAAAGGGATTCGGAAAAGTGTTTAAAATTTATTAGTGTAAGGTTTTGAACATTTTGGCTTTCACTGACTGGTTATTGGATTAGTGGACAAGCTAGATCTACCTGTAGAGGCATGGGTAGATCTTTCATAAATTGAAGGATGGTGTGAGATTTGGGTGTGGGTGTCAGAACCCAAACGTTCAAGCAGTGGATGATAACCATGTAAATAAAGGGTGGCTTCTTGCAACATGATAATTTCTATTTGCCTCTTGCCTAGTCAAAGCCAATATTTTATAAAAGTATGTTTAATTTCCAAGAATTTTGCAATACTTTTCCAAAATCGAAAGATGAATAAAGGATAGACAGCTTTTTAAAATGCACAACGAAATTTCCAATAATTTGATGTGGCAGTGTCAGGACCAACATATTGCTCATTGTGGCATGGGAAGAGTAGAGAAGGTTTGAAATGGAAAGCTGATCAAGTGTTGAAAATCAGAAATTTCTATATAGTTTGTTAGGATTATTGCTTGAAATGTTTTATGAGTTTAACTTTCTGTGTATTAAATAGAGTACTATCTCACCTCAGGTCACAAGTTTCCTGCTCTGAAGGAGGCTGATGCAATGTTTGATGCCGAGAGAGCCCCACAGTGGAAGGAAGGGGAGACTTGCACCCGCTGTAGAGTCAAGTTCGGAGTTGTGCAGCGCCAGGTCAGGCTGTGCCTTTTGCTGTGTTCAGATCCCATGCTGATTTCGAATTCATGAATGAAAATCTATAACGGATAAGTTTCTTATAAGCCACTTTTGTACTTGTTCGTGAAAGCAGTATACAGAGGTTGGGACAGGGATGTTTCAGATTTCCTTTAAAAAAACCCACCCAAACCCAACCCAATAATAAAAAGAAAGAGTTGGGAGGAAATCTGTAAAAGTAAAAAGTTAAGAAAATGGTTTCCCGAACGTAATGTAACTGAATTTCGTGATGCCTTTGTCTTGCACATATTATTATTATTATTATTATTATATTATAATAGTCCTTAAAGTCCTTCCCACACATCAAGTTGGCACGGAAGCACACACCCACTGTTTATTCTCACTTCACACGCATAATGTGCGACGCTGACAAGACTTCTGTATATACACGACAAGAATTTCTTAGGAAAAGATAGAAAGTTCAATGATTTTACAAGTTCAATGTTTCCTAGTTACCTAGGAAAAAAATCGGAAAGCTGTTGAGAAATTTGTTGTGTCAATAGTCAAAAATAGTACTGATGCTTGCCAGGTTTCATATTGAGTGCATTGAATATCAAAACTGATTTAGAATTCCCCCTTTTTAGTGTATTTGTGGATTTAGTTCAAGTATTGAAGCACATATTATAGTAACATGTTTAGAATGTCTTTGAAAATATTGTCATCAAATAATATTGCCGTATGTAAGTCTATATGTAGACCTTTTAGTTAAGTCAATGAGAGCAATGCTGTCAAGATCGTATCCTATCTGGCATACAAATGTGTTTACAATTGGAGGAAGAAAAAATGGCGGCCTCCGTGGAGCTTGTTGACGGAGCAAACCCGTTGATTTTATCAATGTTACATTGAAGAAAAAAAAAACAGGTTCCAATTGGAATGACAATTGCTCTTTACGAAAATATTCACAGCAAATTTTTACTATGTGCAATTACTTGAGAAAAATAACCAAAGATGAATGAAGCTTTTAGAGATAAAATATCGAAGTGATGGCGAGCTGGCCGATGCCGAGTGTAGTCTACTGTGTACAGGACAGTCGATAATTTACCTTGCTATGACTGTGGCTGTGCCAGTGCATTTGTGGTGTTTGAAAGATCTCGTAAGAACAAAAATGAACAATAAAAAGAGATCAGTTATGAACTTAATATTGTTTGTTAGTAAAGAAGCAAAAAAAGAAAGGGGGGTGGTATGGCCGCTGGACACCCCCCACCACCTCGTAGGCGTAGAGGCTCCCACCTCTGGGTCTGGTGTTGGGATTACGGAACATATTTTCAGATTTTTTTCTCAAGTGGCCATTTACATTCTTGCGGTGCTCATTTCTAATGTCCAACTATTTTTTTTTAGCAACATGTTTTCCCATCTCTGGTATGTTATAATTTTTGGCATAACATTGAACTCGGGCTAAAATATAATTTTAAAAGTGAGTTTTTAAAACCGTTATAGAAGTTAAACTCAACTTTGAGTGGGCATTGGCTGATCATCATGTCATTGATGAGATGGGTTAGTTTCTGTCATAAGGGGTTTGTTATACTGTGTGTATATGTGGTTTTTGCTTGGTTTGGTAGGTGAATGTAGTTGTACCTGTTGAATCATAGGATCTCTGAAATAACATCGATTACCAAAAATACAGACTGATGAATCAAACAAGTTCTCCAGATCATTTTAGTCGGAAAACAAGGGTAAAACATGTCAATTTACTTTGACATGTAGTAAATACTTATTTTTTTTAAAAAGATGAACAGTAATTTACCATTAGGATACCTTTGATAAAATGTCCATATTCTGTGCCTTGTAGGATCGTCCGTAGTGTATGCAGGTTTCCTGCGGCCTCCTTGAATTCAAGGAGTCCTTGAAAACTCCTTGAATTTGAGGAACCTCCTCGAAAACTCCTTGAATTTTGCCAAATTGGACCTGAACAAAGTTTTTTTGGGGGAAATCGAAACTACGATTCCTTTCGGACAAATGTAGGCCTATCGGAAATAGGCTTTCGGCATGAATTTCTTGACCAAATGTCCTTCAATTTTTAAAATTTGTCCTTGAAATCTCCTTGAATTTGGTGGGAAGTTCATGGCAGGAACCCTGTATATTTGAGGCTTAATGGTGAAACCAGGCGCTCGTCAAAATAATTAAATTGAAGGGCAGTTTTTATTGGTTTTTCTCTTTTGGGCTCAACACCTTTTATGTACTTTTATAAACACATTTCTGTGTGGATTTTGCTGAAAAACACTTATCAAAGGCACAATGAATGTAAATTTGCAGTTTACAAGGATTCTCAAGCGTTGAAAGTCACCAGACCCTGGACCCCCCTAGGGCGGTGCCACTGACTGAAGTGTCTTTAGGCCATTCCCAAAGGGGGGACATTAACTTTTTCTTATGCACAGTAGAAATGTAAAGGGGCTGATTCAACAATGTCATGCTCATAACTGTGCCTGAACTGCAACAGGGAACTGCTGCTTTTTCTTTCCTTATCCTTACTATCGTCATTTTTCCTCTCCTTTTGTATGTTTGTCACACTCTTGTGACTCGCTATTTCCGGGGTGCCTTGATAGTCGAAGCAGACTTTGTGCTGTTGAAGCTAGAGAGGTGGACAGGGTAAACCTGATTCCCTGTAAGGACTTCTTTGTTGACATCCACCCCTTGGCGCTTATATGACCTTATGCAGTTGCAGTGGCGGTGGGTGGACCAAAATTTGGGTGGGGCTTAGGTAGCTTCCAGTTCTTTACCACAAGCAATAATAAGAACTAAACTGATGATTTTTCTATACTCACGGTGAGCCTCGGCAGTTTGAGAACCGTTCAAATGAAAAGAGTTGCCTTCATTTTCCTTCTCTTTGTTCTTAGTTAAATTCTTGTTGATGGTGGGGGCGAAGCCGATTCACCTCCAAATTTCCTCTAATTAGTTTTCGTTTGATGAAAAAGTTGCCTTAAAAGTAGTTCGACCTGATTTATAACTGTTAAATCTCAGCGGCACAAACACAAACATGCACACACAACACTTCAAACATAATACTCCTATGAGCTGGATTAGGCCGTGTTGTCGAGAAAGTTGAACGCACCCAACAAAGAACCAATGAGCGCATAGGTATCTGTGTCACTGGGGGGAAGTGTGTTGTAAACTTTCACCCCATTATCAGGGCTAGGAGAGCTTGAGCCCTCGGTACAGTGTTATTTTCTCCCTATCTTTTACCTTTTTACAAGAAGAGTTTCATTAAGAACGGGATGTGGGAAAAGGGCTCATCTTCGTTGAGCCCTAAAGACATTTGATTGGCTGCTGGGTTACTATAGTTGTAAGCGGTGACAACAGTGATTAGATAAGCGTGCAAGCCGCCAAGCTGATCATTCTGTGTTCATTGCGTGCAGTCATAACGGTTTCAATTGCATATTTCATTTTGGAGAAACTTTCATTTACTTTGGGATAGAGTTGGGGGAGGTGGGTGGGGAGGGGGTAGGGGCTCAAGCCCGTAGGCCCTTCACTACCCACCGCCACTGTGCAGTTGCGAGCGCCATAAAACCTCTACTAAAACAAAAACCAATCTTTGGATGCCATTTTTTTGCTAATTTTACCGTACCCCCCTTTTTTAAATACTTTTTAAACACAAACGACTGAACTTCTATTGAAGATAGATGGGAATTTTTTTCATCAAAAGAAAGACAGATGAACAAGCCTTAACTATTTATCTCCGGCAAGCCGCTCCCAGCAGCTCGCGGTCTGACTCGCTGTGGCGGTGAGCCGCTGACAGCAGCTCTGGCACATTCCTTTATGATGGCTTTGACATAGGTCTCTTTTATCAGGTTTTCATTTATTAGGTAAAGAGCTATCAAAATAGGTTCACTTGTTTTGATTTAATGACCAATTTAGTGAGGTTTTTGTCATTTTTAGATATAATGCCAAAAAAGGGCCCAGGCGTAGTGGGTTTACTCCCCTCGGAGATAAAGAGTTATGGTGATATCTAGAACTCTATATGCCCAAAAATTGATGAGTGCCTGATTTCATCGTGTTGTGACACATAAGATTATGGTGACTGATGTTGAATTTTTCACCTCCATTCATTTTCAGCACCATTGTCGCAACTGTGGTGAAGTGTTTTGTGGGAAGTGCTCGTCTAAGACCACTACCATTCCCAAACTTGGATTTGAGCGAGAGGTCAGGGTCTGTGATTCCTGTTATGATAAGATCAACAAGTAAGTGTCAGATCCTGCTTGGTGTAAAATTGTGCTACTGTTGACGTTGATATTAATTTCAAATAGGTAGCAACCATTATCAGTAAATAGAGAAAGTAATTATTGTTCTTTATTCTAAAGGTCTGAAATATAAAACTGTATTCAATCTTTAGTTCACACTTGGATTTGTGTATATATGCCATGAAATTACTGAGATTATAGTTGGGTTTGCTCTGGCCCTGCTCAGATGATTCAGTGATTACTTTGAATGTCTCTCCACATGCGTGCTCTCTTATGAGGTCTGTACCCTTCAGTTGTTTTCTTTAGATTGTCCTCCTATTTCTCTTTGACTCGCGTCCCTTCCTCTGAGTAGTTAGACAAGGTAATGTGTTTGGTTCAACTATCAACTGCGACAGATGAGAACTAATTTCTCGGAGACTTTTTTTTAGGAAAATTGCTAGAAAATATAATAGAAGTAGTCATAAAGAAGATGATGTCCTGACATGGCTGAACAACAGTTACTGGAGATAAGTGGCTCCAAAATTGAACACATTAGGCTGGAAAGAACTGTTTTCACAAAAAAGGCCACTTTTCAAAAGGGACATGGTGCCTAGAAGAAAAATAAAAAGGGGAGAATGCAAAAGAAATATTTCTCTGTGTTTTAGGGGGAAAATTTGAAAAAAAATCAGCCTGGGATGTTTAACTTTTTCTAGCAATGTGTTTCTTATTTTAAAATTCCCCTGTACTGAATTCTAATATGGCTCTATATTTCTGATATTGAAGATTATGGCTCTGATAAACGGAGTATTTGATTTATATTTGCTAGGGCTGCCGCATCTGGGAAGAAGGAAGATGATTTGCCCGCAGAGTATCTGGCCAGTCCATTGTCTAAGCAGTCGCAGGTAACTACGACAATGGTAATTCCTACTAATCTCTTCCTGGCTGTTGTCTTCATGTATTGATTTAAAAAATATTTTTATGCTGTTGTATTATGACTTGCTTTTGTGAGAAGTGAAGTGCACAACCATGTAGCTAGTGGCAAGCCGTCTTTCTTTTTCATATCCCACAGCATGAAGCATTTTGAATTTACCTATTATCTTGTCGAAAATCTCAGCGATATATGATTTTCAATAAGCATTTCTAAGAAGCAAGTAAATTTAGGATGACCTGCAGTTTATATGTATATTTTCCTTTAGCCATATGCAGGACAGTTACGAGAAAATTGTGTAATGTGATTTTAAACATAGCTGAGACAATTGACAAGATTGCTTCAAATGTCTGCCAGCCAGAGGCAGTCTGTAGATTTTAATTAGAGAGATCTGTCTTATAAGGGACAAAATTGGCTGATTGTTGCATATTTTTAAAATGTGTGGCAATTGCATGGCAAGTGATATCATTCGAGAAAACACTTTTACTAGAAGCAGCGGAATCAGTCTTATGAAAATGTGCACTTATACTTTTCGCTGATGAATAGCGTATAATAAACACACCATTGGAACAGGGCTTAAGGCTCTGTTCTGTTGCACCTATATCACTGATTGCACACACAGTTCCTTAAATTTTTCTTTGTTGCTTTCTTGTAAACTTTGTTACAGCATGGTTTACTTTGTCATATTTGCGAAGATAAGTGTGTTTGATGGTATTATTGTTTTGGTGTCGCTTTGTGAGCATTTATCACTTTTACTTTAGTCTGCTTTGAAGGGCAGGTTTTAGAGAAATCGTTTTTGTTCTCCTCCTTACTTTGACTGATCAGCTTCTGAAATTTATATATTGTGGGAAAGTACTCATAGTCTCTCTAAGGCATTTGAAAATCTGTAGATAATAAGCTAACAAGCTGATTTTGTAGGGGCCGTTTTTAAATGTGTGTGTTTTTTTTGTGTTATTTTGCCATGAATGACTGTGAGTCCCAGCTTTTATTATGTCTTCCTTTTCAATGCTATTCTAATCCACAAGCTGGTGCTTAGATGGTCTAAATGGTTTTACTTCTTTGTGGAGTTTTCAAGTAACTGAAAATTATTTCTCACTTGGTTGTTCCAAGGACACATTTTATGAAACATATAAATACTGGAGTTCAGTTCTTTGGAGAGTGTTTGACGCTGGTTGTTTTAATCATTCCGCACACCCACCACAGCCCCCAAAGTTAATGTTCATGAATTGCTGGGGTCGAGGTGAACATACCTTTTTTGTGATATTTCTTTTACGGGTAATATGTGTGTCTCCAGTTTTATAGAAGTAATGGAGTTCACTGTCTTTTCTCATATCCTCATTAAAACCTTGAAATAAAGTAGTTGTACTGATATCTGTTCTTTGACTGCAGAATTTTGTCCTTACTGAGACTATTGAAGTACTTAAGTTTCCATTTGAAGTTTTTCTATTTTGCATATGAGGACAGTAAGGGGAACACTCTTTGCTGGTACATGTATGACATCTTTCTAATTGCTCTGTTTATTTTGTCCTTTATTAGTTTGCTACTGTGAGACTTTGCTAAATATAACAACAGTAGATGAAAGTTGAAGGTTCAAATCATATTGGGCTCTCAAATTATCTTGTCTTTCCTGGAGTATTTTAGCTTCCAGGAACCAAGCACTGTACATTTTAGACTGCCTGCATTGTGTTTAGTAAGAGGTCACATTTCGAGAGGATCAGTAAAAGCTGTGTTGAATTGTGAATGAAGATGACGGTTGTTATGATTCATTTATTTGTTATAGGCACCACCAAGCAAGTCAGAGCAGGAACAGCAGGAAGAGGAGGAGTTGCAGCTGGCTCTGGCTTTGTCAAAATCTGAGCATGAGACGAAGGAAAAAGAGGTGAGAAAGCTTGTATCCAAGACAAGCATTGTTTATTTTTATGTGGGGGAAACACACTTTCATTGTAAGTTTATTGTAAGTTCTGCTTTCTTTTAATGAGAATAAATTAATTCCGAGGTCTCCTAGGTTCATTAGATCTTTGTGCTATGTTCAAATTCCAAGTTGTTACTTTTGAAAAGATCAAAGGTGAAAAGTGATCCCAACAACTTGTTTCTTATGCAACAAACTCTTGAACATTTTGTGTTTGTATTCATGTGAGTAAATCTTTTACCTTTGTCAGCGGGAGCGCTTGAGGTCCAACTATGGAGTATATGGAGGTGGGAACAACAACCGAGCTCCATCCCCTGCCAAGGTGACCCCAGCACCAGCTGTAAGTTGTACAGAAAAAAACTACCTTACTTATTTAGTGCAGGTTTTTAGTGATTCAAAGAAATTTTATTCTGAGCTCGGAATGCTTTTCTTTACTTTGAAAGTGTATTTTATCAAAGTATATGGTGGATTCATTTCCTTTTGTATTGAGGTTAATTCATAACTCTTTTGCTTTATACAAGGAAGTGACTTTAATGAAATACTTAGATATTTGTCTTATGCATAGTTATGCCATGCACTATATAAAGATTAACATGTATTAGAGCCTGTCTAAAGACTGTCTGCTGTAGTTCAGATATTTCGGTCAATGCTTGAGGTTGATTGTAGATCGCATTAGGTTAGCGCTACTTGTTTTATATCTCTCCCCCCCCCCCCCCCCCAATTGTTCAGTCTTTCTGTCCTTTTCTTTCCCCTTGCACTGTCTGGCCATTATTATGTGGATATGTCTCTTTTTTTTCGGCTGACAGACTTGATCTATATTTTCTGTCTTCAGCCAATCACAGCCATTGATACGTCTGACATGGACCCTGAACTGGCTCGCTACCTGAACCGCCACTACTGGCAGCAGAAATCTGATGAACAGCAGCAGCAGCCGATGGTGTCCACGACTGTCCCGTCTGCTCCTGCCCCCAACTCGGAGCCTCGTGTCAGTACCAGTGCAGGGCACGTCAATGAGGTGAAAATCTTGTTGTCATTGTCATATTAGTTTATTTACTTGTGTAATGATGAAAGTCTCTCTGATGGGTTTTTTAGCTGTTGACTGGCTCAACGTGCTGATTGGGCTACGTTTTGAATTATGAGTAATGCAAAACTCTTGTTTCCTATTGTTATTTTTTTGGGAAAAATTTCACAGCTGAGCAATAATTTTTTAAAAATAATCAGTGAAGGGGAAATCCTGATCATGGCCTGAAACAGCCAGGCTATTAAGGTACAAAATCTGCTGTGCATAATGAGTGATGTCAAGCAAGTAAGTTGGAGTACCTTAATGAGACAATCAGGGTGCAGTTTTTTAAATAATAATCAGGGTGTCCAGCAAAGTCGTAAAGTCGTAAAAAAGTCGTAAATTCAGCGCTCTGGTCGTAAAGGTCGTAAATGGTAGTAAATTTGCCTTGTAGGTAGTAAACATTTGGTAAACGGTCGTAAATTAATCTGCGTAGGGAGTGATGAAGCCAAAACAGGCTTCATTGAACCCTAGCCGTGGTACATGACTCCGTTTTAGCCGG